TCAGACTGAACAAAAAAGTTTGCAACTCCAATTTTCGAATAAATCGCTAGAATATGCGCAGATCTCCGGCAAGTCTAAAATAAAGGTGTTTTGAGGACGCTGAGTGCCAGAAAATGCACCGAGAAAAAAGTGTATCACAGCGCTACTTTACAAAATTGACTTTTCTAGGCATGCGGATGGATTTGGAAATAGGGTTTTCTTACCAAAAGAAAGCTCGTTAGCTACTATGCAAACTTGTCTCTAGAACTTTTCAGATGCTCAGCTTAGTTCGCAGGAAATCAGAGCTGTATCAGGAGTTCTCAAAAAATAGAGACCTTTTCTGTCACAGTGTTACTTACCGAAAAATCTTTCTAGAAGCGTGAGTCTTGAACCGAAAATATTCATTTATGTACCCTAAGTAGAGCAGTCCTGATAATGTGTAAGAAGAAGAAGAGCTTCTACAGTTGACGTACTAGAACGAAATCCAAACTGAGTCCGATTTAAAACTTGTAACTCAGTAAAAATAATTGTAGAAACGCCATTCTTGCGGATCTAGCTAGCCAATGATATGTGGTTATATTATGATAAAAGAATATTAAAAAGTTATTCTAAGATGTTAGTTCGAAATTGAGCGAAAGTGACAGAGACCTCCGACCTTCTTCAACCAAATATCAGGACTCTGGATCATCCTTCCATGACAAAATAAGTTTGAGGATTAATTGAGGATTTTGAAAGAATCTGTGGATAACCTGTTCATACTTCAATAATTTGCAGTAGCAGCATAGTAGGTTTTTCTCATATAGTTTGGTATATAGTGTAAAGTGCCACATCTGCTGGATGCGCCCCGTCTGTATCTAGTGACTTTTTGGAAATCACAATAACAACTTAAACATAGGTAATCAAGCACACTGAGTCTCATGAAAATGTTTATTTTTCGAAAAAAGTTGAGAGACTTAGTGACAACTTATTTTATCTGAAATAAACGTTTTTCAGCCATTACTGAATATAAAAAATTCAAAAATATCTCGAAATCTATCCAAATGACCTGGAAACTTCATAGTACAATCACAACAGTATTTTGGAGGTGAAGAAAACAGGAAAGAAGACGAAAACTGACGTTAGTGTCAATAATATTTTTCAAAGATTCTGTCCAAATGTTAAGAAAACATTTTCAAACTTATCTCTTCGTGGAACCATGCGTCAGAGTCCTGGCTTTTAATCGGTGAAGATCAGAAGTCTCTGTTATTTCTCATCATGAGATTATCTGAAAAACCTAAAGACATATATAGCCAAGTGTTCTTAGTTATGCACCATACGGCTACAGGGTATTCGATCTCGAATGGTACTACTATCAAGTGATATTGATATTGATTGGCACCAGGTATTGAATAGTATCAGAATTGTTCTTTGTTCTTATTGTTTTCTGATATGTGAAAGTTAAGGTGTACAATGGCGGCCTATGTTACCCGTAATACCTCTCCTAACTCTCAGAACTTGCTCGTGCAAGACCAACTAGTTAACGAGCTACAGTAAAAAAACAAACTTTGAGTACGATACAGAGTGAGAGGGGCGGTACGGATAATTTAGACCACTACTGTATAACACACATTAACAACTATATTGTCAGACAGCAATAAAAAAGAAGAAAAAATTCCAGTACTATTCAATACCTGATACCACTTAATATAAATACTTCTCAATACCAATACCATTCGGGACCAATACCTTCGACACCGACCGTATCGGTCTCGACGCATGTCTAAATGTTCTCTTCAAACTGAGAAAGTTTGAGGGTTCATATGGGAGAAGTAAAGCCCTCTTTAAATCTGCGACCGTTTCTCGATTCTATTTAGGTCCGTTTCTCAGAATATCCTTTACTGCCATAGTAGCCATCGAATGGATATTTATTGTATGTAATGGTCTTGAAGGAGTATGGGCCATTCTCTTATACCTCCTAGTTCGTCGAAAAAAGACAAAACTACCACCTACCAGTGAGCAGTTAGCACCCATGCCGCGAGAGAAGTCATTGGCCAAAGTCGGCGATGAAGAGGAAGTGTTTATCAATTCGGAAATAGTTCGACCAGAGACAACAGATTTAGATTCTGATACGCCTGTCTCCTGTTTGAAGACTAGTGCCATTGAACGTTTGATACCCCATGATATTCGGACACCGATGACTATTGTACGTTTAACACTCGACGATCTAATATCATTTCGACAAAGGCGAACAGGCACAAACGAAAACTACCATCCAGATTCAGTAGATAGCCCTTTAAATGATCATAATTATTAGAGATCGGATTAGAATTCAGACCAGCTTGGGATTTTGCACAAGATTATGCCATTTAAGTTCTAATACGGTCTAGTTGCCGTTAGAATTTTCCATTAAGATATTTAAATACTTTATAACACTAAAAAACCATTAACAATGGTTAACTAACATACTTGTATCAAAAAATCACACCATTACACCAGTACCAGGGAACAACTCTGTCCAGCAGCAATCCAATAGCGTACTACACAAGTACATCCACATTTCGTCAAATGAGAATTCTCACTTTAAGGGTACCTTCCCTCTTTTTTTGCAAAAAATCTTTCATTCTGAGCTGAACGCAGCCTAATGTAGAAGAAAGTCTGGGCTATAAAATGAGCTTCCAGCTCTCCATAACCTTCCTTGAAGAAGTTATGAAGTTTTTCCTTTAAAGCCTAGAAAATCTCAACCTTTTAGCTTCTTTAATAAATTTTCCTCACCTTTCCTATATATTCAAAACTTCTTATAGATAGGCTAATGGAAGAAAGTGTGCTCTTCAATATGAAACGTTTTCTAGAATTTTCCGATGAGTTTTCGTGGAGATATGAACAGCATGGGAAATACCCTGAAATCAGAGCCCCGTGTACAATATGTGTTTTTCTCACTATACCTTTTTTCGACAGTGCCTTCAATCCAGTCACATTACGATCCCTAGGAAAAATGGTCGTTTTCAATTTTAACTTTCGACGTGAGAAGGCTTTGAAAACAAAAACACGATTTTTATACCGAATTTTTAGTATTTTTCGAATATCTCGTGAAGGAAGGTACATTGTTCAAAAGAAAACTTTACATCCTTAGATAAGGTCTAAAGTATCTGTGGTAAAAATTTGAGCTCGATCGGATCATTTTTTCGAGGGTTCGTAATTTGTTCGTAATTCGTGACCGAATGAAAACTGGAGTTTTTCGGAAAATCCATAGCAGAAGATCTCAGAAAATTCTGAAAAAAAATACATCGTATTTCTTTTCCGATGTTCTGTCTCTGCTATAAACTCGAATTTCTCAAACTACGTAAACAACTGCAGGCTGATCGAAGAAAAGACAAAAGAAAAAAGGACAACAGATACAAAGTACAAAAAACATTAGACAGATGTTCTAACCTGAATATTCTTATTCCTAACAAATTGTAGAGTGCTACTTTGTTAAGAGTTAAAAGGATCCTTTTGACCTAACAATGGGTCTGAACAGACTTCTACTCCAACGAAAACAAAAGTTAAACTAGTCTCTGAGGCCTGTCAAACCTATTTGCGTTAGAGAAGAAACTATACTAGCATAAATTTAAATTTTGTACTGAATCTAAATTAGGTATGCATCGATTTCGATTAATCGGAATTCAGTTATTCGAAATCGAAAATAATCAAAAAGAAGTGGTATTGCTAAAAGACGCGAACACCCACGAACATCCACGAACACTACCAAATTAAAATCTGAGTTAGCTAATCGATAGAACTCGTCGAGCTGAGTATAGCAATCCCTAACAAACATCCCAAAACCTTTTATAGTTTCGCTTTTTAAGCATACGTTTTGAATAAACACCCACGAACACCTACGAACAGCCAAAGCACAGTGGGCATTTTTTGCCAGAGCAGGCGGACTTTAGCTTTATGAGTGAAGTAAAATTCCATGAACTATTTTTTTATAGGTTTTTCATGACCCTCTTTCTAATGGCATGAGAGTTGGGTTTTGAAAAAGTTTTCTAAGAAGTTTTCCAGAGCTCCGGTCTCTGGAAAACCCTTCAGAAAACTTTCTCGATATTTAAAAACGATGCCACTAGAAAGAGCATTGTCGAAAACCTATAAGAAACATGTTTCGAGTCGTTCAGGTTACTTTATCTTGAAATTCAAACTTTCAGCACGAAATTGTTTGTGTGAATCTCAAAAACTAAAGAAATTTCTAGAATTCAAGATCAAGCGACCGAAACTCGATGAGTTATCCGTCATTCGATGCAGTTTTTCACGTTGATTCCGAATATGACCTTACTTTCAAGAAAAAGTGCTTTTTTGAGGGAGAAAACTTCGAAATACCGCGAAAACCACTATGGGTTTTGGAAAATCCATAACTCGACTTAGAAGAAAAATGGCAAACAGTATGGATGTAGCATTGTCTAAGGAGCATTTTGCTGCATTTGAATATTATTTTCGAAGGTGGACAAAGGTGGGCACTCTACTATGCTGAAGCACGGTCACTGAAGACTGACGTATGGAGAAATCATGTCGCCGTTACTTCTTGAATATAGGTACGAAGTGTAAACATTTTGTCATCGGAAGATAACTGAAGACATGCTGATTTCGAATATGTGCTTTCAAATCGTTTGACATAGCTGAGTGAGCAGAGAACCACGTTTTTTGCTATGTACGCTATGTAGTGTCTGTACCCTAAGTTTCTCCCCGAAGGAGCTGATATCAAAATAGACATTTATACATCGTTCGATAGCCCTTTCGATGAGCTACATTTTCCGCTATTTATATTTGAAAAAGGAGATAGTTCCATTTTTCGCCTAATGTCCGCCTGGATGCCCACTGTGCAAAGAACATCCATGAACATAAAGACAAAAGGGTAAGAACTTTCAAGTCACCCTCAGCCCAGAATAATCTGGAGATGAATTTGACACACTTTTTTGAAAGTTCTTACCCTTTTGTCTTTGTGTTCATGGGTGTTCTTTGGCTGTTCGTAGGTGTTCATTCAGAATGTATGCTTAAAAAAAGGTCTTTGGGTGCTCGTTAGGGATTGCTATACTCAGCTCGACGAGCTCTATCGATTAGCTAACTCAGATTTTAATTTTGGGGTGTTCTGGATGTTCGTGAATGTTCATGAGTGTTCGTGGGTGTTCTCGTCTTTTAGCAATACCTAAAAATAAGACATTGTATTGATGTCGATATTTTAACGGTTTTTTATTTCTCCTTTGGCTTTTCTTTCTATATTTTATCGGCTCAAAGAGTCAATCGAGTAGGATGAAATTCATTTAAGGTGCCGGTAATGCAAAACTGGAGTGAATTTTTTTTCTCGTTCGTTTATATATGGTTTGAAAGCCCTTCAAAAGCTGATCACGAATATATACTTTTTATTTCGATTCGACCTCTCTTTGGCCGA